CTGCTTTCATTCTGCTGACAATTCCTTCTCTTTCTTTGTTGAAATGATGTATCCTTGAAGTCCACGTTGGCATTTCCCAGAGGGCTTTTGGGAAGCGAAATGGTGTAGTGGTTAAGTGCGCGGACTCTAATCTAGGAAAACCGAGTTTGATTCCCCACTCCTCCACTTGCACCTGGCTGGATGACCTTGGGCAAGCCGTAGTTCTGTTAAGAGCTGTTTTTGAAAAAGAGCAGTTTCTGTCAAGAGCTCTCTCAGCCCCCCCTACCTCACAGGGTGTCTGTTGTGGGGAGGGGAAGGGAAAGGAGTTTGTAAGCCGCTCTGAGACACCTTTGGGTAGTGAAGGGCGGGGTATAAATCCAATCTCCTCCTCCTCCTTTCTGTTTAGCTTATTTTTCTGGAGGCATGTTTTTCTGCCTGGTACTTTTGTGCATGTGTGTTTTTAGTGGGTTTCATGGAATGACTTAAAAGATTGTGGATTCATTTGTTCGGATAGGTGGGATGGTGATGTTTTAAATCCAGAGCTTTGTCACCGCTGACGCTTCTTTCTTGCCTGTCTGTGTGCTCATTTGTTGGGTTACCAGGCAGGACATTCTAAAATAAAGGCCCTCTGGAAGCCAGGATTCCTGAAACAACACTTCCGTGCCCTATGGCAACATTGCACTACCTGGGATTGCACATTACACAAAGGGGGATGCTCTAGGGAAAGTGCCCTATTTATATCAAAGTCAGGTAAGAGGCAAGGGGCAGCCCTAGTGTAAGATGTGTTAGTCTGACCTATGTGCTGCCTTTTGCACTCCCTCATTCTCTGAGGCCAAACGTCATCTGTATTGTGTGTTCTGGTGGCAGCTGAAGAGAGTGGTTCTGCTGGTTCTGGGAGATGCCAAGCATACTTGACTGACTTCGTGGAGGAAGGGGGTGTATTTGTGTGTGTGACTGTGTAGGAGACAGAGAGCCTCCAGCTGGGGATCTGCTCAGGACTCCCCATCTCCCCTTCCCAATACCTGCACAATGTAAAGAAGACTACTCCCAGAGTAACAAATGTTGCCCACTTTTTCAGACAAGGAATGAGCTTGTGCAAGGTTTCCATGTTCATGCTGTGGCAGCTGATAAGGCTCGGTGACAAAGGGGCTTCCACATGACAGGTTTGCCTGTATTTTCTCTACCCTGGTTCCCTGGAAGCAGTCATTCTGCCCCTCCCCCCAATCACTGTGGGCTCTTTCAGGTTTTTTTAATTGACAGTTGAATATATTATATTGACAGTTGAATTGTTATAGCATTATAATTGTGTCAAATACTCTGAACTCCCAGTTTTCATTATAAAGAAAGTAAGTCTAGTTCTTTTGGTAAGAGTCTAGCCAGTTTGGTGTAGTGGTTAAGTGCGCAGACTCTAATCTGGGAGAACCAGGTTTGATTCCCCACTCCTCCTGCAGCTGCTGGATGACCTTGGGCAAGCCATAGTTCTGTCAGAGCTGTTTTCTCAAGGACAGTTCTCTCAGAGCTCTCTCAGCCCCACCTACCTCACAGGGTGTTTGTTGTGGGGAGGGGAAGGGAAAGGAGTTCGTAAGCCGCTCTGAGACTCCTGAAGGGCGGGGTATAAATCTAATCTCTCCTCCTCCTCTTCCTCCTCCTTCTCTTCACTTTCCCCACAACAAAAAGGGCTAGAGACTTACTTTTTTAAAAATGAAAGCTTGTAATTCAGAGAGTCTGATAGAAAGGTGGCTGGAGAAGGGAAGGCTGTTGTGGAAGACTAGAGCAAAGAAAATAGTGCTGACGAAGTTGAGATGGGAATGATCTGGAGCTTCCTGTCCATATGGGTGTCACCCCAGCTTTACTGGGAACATAATCAGAAAACAGATTTGAGGGAAATTGTGGGGGAAACCAAAGGTGCACAGAAGCACCACAATGATGTGGGGAAGTGGGGACCCCCCCCCAGGCTTCCCCATAGGATCCAAGCTAGGGCAAGCAACCCGTGTAAATGACAGATGTCTCTAAGTCTTTTCCTATCAAGCCCTGGGATTGGGTGTAAAAGATGTGTCCAGAAATGGGAGGTGAGTGAGACTCTTAGCCTTTAGCTAGCACATTTGAGTTCAGAACTTTGCAAGCTATGGAACGCTTTCTGCAGAAACTGATTTGAGTGTGAAGGTCCTTGCATCTAAGATGGAGGTCTTTGTAGGGACATTGTACCATGAAACCCCCTTGTCTGTCACATGAAGGTAAAACTGGAGGTTTTTTTAAAAAAGCAGACTGACTGTGGAGAGATATAGACATTACATTCCAGTGCCTCTGGGGAGATTAAATTCCAGTGCCTCTGTTGGGGCCTTCTGCTTCTGGTGTGATCGAATGATCCACTCACACCTGATGTGAAGACTTGGCGGGATTATCTAGAGGCCTTATGTTGCTTCTCTGCATGAGTTCTCAGGAGTTGCTTTGACCAGAGAGTCGTAGAGCAAAATTGGTGGGGACTCATTCTTCCACTTTTTTGGGTGTAAGCGTTGAGTGCGCTTGCAGTCTTTAACCAGAAAACTAGTCTAGTTGAGCTGTGGAAAGTTGGACTACAGAGCTCTGCAGGTTACCCTGCTTTGTGCTGCTGGCAAGAGAGGAGCTCTTCCCTGCATTCATTCCCTGCATTCTTATCCCGTTTTATGAGGACAGTAGCCTCAATAGCCCATCTTAGCCTGAGCTTGTCAGAACTTGGAAACTAAGCAGGGTGGGCCATGATTAGTACTTGGATAGGAGACCACCAGGGAAGACCAAGGTAGCTGTGCAGAGGAGGGCAATGGCAAACCATCTCTGCCTGGAACCCCTCATGGAAGGGGTCTCCATAAGTTTGTTGTGACTTGACAGCACATTCTTTTCTGAGAATCTGGCTCTGCAAATTACAAAGGAAACAATTATGTGGAATTGTTGAGCAAGAGCTGAGATTTTGTTATTGCAGCATCTTTGAGTTGGGATGACGATAAATGTTTTTGCTTCATTGTTCCTTAGAATGGCAATTTGAACTGTTGAGCTGCATATTTGTTTAATCTCTTCGACCTTGAAGTATGTGCTGTTTCTCTGACTCCTGGTATGTGGGAGTCCTTTCCTAGTAACACTGTTGTTATATTGACGTTTCTGTTAAGTATAGCTTCCATTGCTTTAATGGGCCATGCAAAAGAAACAGACGAAGAAGTAGAGTTTTAATTTAGTTAATGCTTCCTAGATGCATACTGGTTCTTAGTGGGAGAAAGTATCTCCACCGGCATTAACAGAATAATTTGAAAAGGATTTGGAAGATTGCTCTAAGGCCACAAGTAACATATTATAGGTACTTATATATATAGCTGCAGGAACTAGGATCCCACTATGTAATTTTTGCATCATTTAATGTGTCATGTTAATACTATGCTTCACTTCTGTTTTTAGACTTGTTTGGTTCTACAACGCTAATTCCTCTTGCATTGTTAATTGAATATCCCATCCTGTCAATTGTATTGACTCACTGTGTTGTAATCCATCTTGAATCCAAGTGAGAAAGGTGGACTATAAAAATCATAAATAAAATACATAAGAACTAATAAAATATAATAAATTATTGAGAAACAGGCTTTTTCATTAGGTGCTAGAATGCTAAGTATCAAGATAATATATAACCTTATGTATCTTTTTAAGTGTCATATGATGGATTAGAGTGGTACTATACATGTTTGTGGTTTGATTTATGTTTGTTATTAATCTTATCTGTGTATTTATACAAAATTAAAAAGAGAATGAAAAAAATAACTTGCAATGGATATTAAAAGTTGAAATAAAATACACTGAATTAAGCTACGTAATCAATGTAGCAGCAGAGCAGCCAACTCTTTTTCTTCCTTCTAATCTCCTCTAAAACCCACTTAGGCTATAAAGACTTCCGTAACCTTTCAGACTTTATCCCAGTCAAAATGGCCTTAATGTGACCCTTGGGTTATTATATACTTTGACACTATAAAATTTAGGGCCTCTGTTTTTTAAAGCCTGTATGACAAATTGGATATAGATCTTAGGGGGTTATTGACTCTGAGCAGAGTGCTGTTTTAGATTCGAAGCATCTGTTCTCTTTTGGTCCAAAAAATAATTATCCGAGAAGGTTGTTGAGAAAGATTACATGTAGCTGATGTTGCCACCACAGACCCTGACCCCCAAATGCCACTCATGCAGATATGTTGACCCTTAAGGGGTTTCATTCTAGAAAGAATCACTGCAGATCATTAGCTTGTCAGAGATCTAGTGTGGTGTATAGATTAAGAGTGCGAGACTAGCAATACGAAGACCTAAATTCAAATCCTGACTTCACCATGGAAAAACTCTTGCCAGTCATTCTCTTTCAGCCTAATGTACCCAGTGGGGCTTTTTACACAAAATGGTGGTGGGGAGTGCCACATACTTTGTCCTGAGCTTCTTAGGCAAAGGGTGGGATCAAACTGTGACAGATCTTTGCACATGGCAGCTGGCTGTGACTGCAGGCAGGAATTTAGTGGAACATCAGGCTAGTATTAGGTTGGGTGGGAGGGCAGGGTGCAGGGTAAATTTCAGAGGGCAGAATTTAAAAATTCAAGGAATTCTGCAGTAGGAGTAAAGGGACTCTTCTTTTTGATCAGATTGAGGGGTTTTTTTAGAATAATGTTTCTGAAGGTCAGGTGAGCTGACTCGCTCCAGCTCTCTTCCTTTTGGTTTGTTATGCTTGTATTGGGGGGGGGGTTTGCACAGACACACTGCATTTTAGTTCCACTGGTAGCCTTTCCATGGGTCAGCCACATCAGGGTGGCACAGTGAGAAATGGACAGATTGAGCTGTTGGGGATAATCTTCTGGAACTATTCTTGCACAGTTCCCACTTGTTCCTTGCATTTCCAACTGGATTACATCCCACATTTTAGTACTTTGTGTGGGAGCTGTTTGGATTTTCCGCCATGAGCACCAAAACGTCTTGGGTCACCTCGCTGTCTTCTGATCTTGCTGATCCCCTATTCCTTCCTTTCACAGGAGGCCGACAGCAGAAGCGGTCCCGGGATGGCCAACAACCAGGTGAAGAACCTCCAGAATGAGGTGGAAGGTGTAAAGAATATCATGACACAGAATGTGGAGCGGATTCTGGCCAGGGGAGAGAATCTCGACCACCTACGCAATAAGACAGAGGACCTGGAGGCGACGGTTAGTTCTGAAATGGGGCGGGGCAGGGCAGCAGCAGACAAAGTGGGAGGTGAGGGGAGAGGTGGAGGGATGCTTGTGGACTAGTCGAGCAGCGGGTGGCTATGGAAAGAAAGAGAAGGATTCTGCCACTTCCCACAGCGGTATGGAGCCTTGACAAGGAGGGTGTCCCCTATCCTCTGTGCCCTGAGCCTGCAGCGGCCCTGAGCCTGCTTGGGCAGGGTATAATTTGAATCAATCAATCAATAAAAAATCTGAGAGGGATTTGTACCACCCAGCACACAGCTGAATGTCCCACCAAATTGCTCTCAAAAGTACATGCCAATCCGTCAGCACTGCAGGATGTACCTGTGATCAGTGCTCCCTCTAAGCTGTGGAGTCTTGCGAGCCAAGATTCTACTTTTTGAGTGACGGGCATTGAAGTTGTGAGCGAGCGATTTGGCCGCTGCATAAATCGGTTTCCTCTGGAGCCCTCCTGCCTGAGCGAAGACAAAAATCTGTGAGCCGGAGGCTAAATGACTGTGCTCACACTAACTCAGCTTAGAGGGAACACTGCCTGTGATGTGGCATTTTTGAGGCCAACATGGGCTTTTGAAAGGCAGAAGATCTCTTCCCTGTTATGGGAGTTAGGCCAGATGAAAGTAGGAAATCAACGCTAGTTATCTGCCATGTGACCCGTAGATTGGTGGGGGGTGGGAGGCGGGGAGATGGAGCAATGTTGCTGATTCTGCTCAGAGGGCTGGGTGTGAGCAGGAAGAGCTGACTGGCCAGGCTGTGTGCATAAAACAGCACCAATGCAGACCTGTTTGCGTGTCTGACTGCAAACCTTGGAAGGCCCTATGGGGCTCTGCCCTTTGTTCTGGTCTGGTATTTATTGCCATCTGAGCCATTTCCCTTGCAGCAGATCAGCTGCTTGTGGGTTTGTCCAAGATAGCAGTACAGAACAAAAAGGGAATCATCCACATGGTGTCTGCTGGGGGGGGGAGACCTTCCAGACAGTCCTGATCAAAACAGGGTGGCATGAAACTGGCCTCCAGAACTCTTAAGATGGGGGTGCAGCAAGCGTGGAGGAGGTTGCATCTTCTCTCCGTGGAGTTTTGGGGAAATGAAGCAGGTAACATGAGTGAGAAAGAAGACCTCTGAATGGATTTGGAGTGGTCCTGCTAGAATTTGTATTGATTTTAGTGCCACATGCAAAACTGCTATTCAGCACCTTTTGTGTATGCTTTGGTTTTTCACTGGGCTAAGAGACTGTGGTAGAAGGGGCTGAACAGATATTACTGTGGAATTTGATAACTGTACATCCCAGTTGTGCATTCTGTATGTTTACAATGAGAGACCTGCAGAGTCTCCTGCACATGTGTCCTCCTTCAGGGGAAACTGATGTTTTACACTTGCTCTTCCTGGAGGTTCTATAGCAATATCAGAATATCCATAACCTCAACTCACGACCAGATGTTGGGACGCCTTATGATGGAGGTTCTGTTGATGGCCATCAAATCCTGTAAACCATTATTAGGAAGTGCTCTGTGCAAACATGATCTCTTGTGCTCTGGCCACCTCTGATGAAGCAAGCCCCAAATTCATGGCCTAAAAGGTGCAAGAGGGAAGAGAGCTGCGCTGACTGATTTGTTTTGCAGGCTTAACACAAGATAAACTCTGCTGGATTGGAGCAAAAATGCATTTAATCCAGTCAGTGTCTGTCGGCCAACCCAATACTTCCAAGAAATTTACAAGCAGAGCATGAAAGTGATATATTGCCCGTCACCAAGCATCTGGTATTTGGAGGCTGGATACATCTGACTGTGGAAATCCTAACTAGCTGTCATGGTTTATAGCTACTGAAAGCTCTCTCCTCCATGAATTGTGTAATCCCTTTCTAAAACCACATACAATGCCATGCTAAACAAAAGTATACCTTTCAAAGTTCATTGATTTCAGTAGGTTTAAGAAGGGTGTAACTGTTTGGGATTGCATTGCAAATCCATTAGCCATAATCGCTGCACATGCAAGCAGTATGCTGGATGAAGCCCTTCTGCTTAATGGTTAGTGAATGAGACTCACCCATTGTAAATATGTTGCTGCTGATTTTTTAATGATTAGGAGAAGGGTAGGGTGGGGGGTCTTTCTCTTCCTATGCTGGTAACTAACCTGTCGTTTGATCTCTGTTGCAGTCAGAACATTTCAAGACTACCTCGCAGAAGGTGGCACGCAAATACTGGTGGAAGAATGTCAAGATGATCGCCATAATATGCGTCATCGTTGCTATCATCCTTGTTCTGATTATCCTCTTTGCTACTGGCACGATCTAAACTTAAGCCTTCTTCTTAGCCTTGGATGTTCTTTGTGTCTTCTGTACCACCTTCTCCCTTACTTGCTGAAATTTCTAACTGAACCACTTGGCTGAGCGCTGCCATCAAAGGGCTTTCAGCGTTCCCTCAGGATACCACCCCTCACTTGCGTCCACGTTGTGCAGAGGGGTATCCCATCACCCTCCCTGCTGTCCTACTTTTCCTTTCCTCAGCCTCACAATAACAAGGTGTACTGCTAGGCAGGAATAATATCTCTTGCACCCAGGTAGGTTTTCAAAGCTGCCTGGGCCTTGCTGAGCAATAGGCTACAGATTTGGTGGGGTGTTTTTTTGGTGCAAGCTGTTACTGCTGATGCAAGTCTATGTCAAGCAGTTCTGTTCTCTTCCCTCCCCCCTTCCACCTTGGCATATCCAAATTCTGATTCTGTGGATTATAATCTATCCCCATCCTTTACCAGAAGGCCTGTGTATAGATCTAGTATCCTAAATTTTGTGTCTATGGGTGGGTACCTGTATAGAGTTGCTGTCATTATGGTGGAGTGGGGAGGATTTCTGTCTTTCAAAAATAAAAATGGGAGGGCATTACTGATTCATGTCTGTTTTCTGGTCTCTTGTGAACACTTTGGAGGAGGCTGTTTTTAAAAAATGTGGGAAGCTGGCATCTCTTGTCTCTTTCTTAAAGGTGTTTTGGATTCCTTCTTCTTCCTGAGTGGCATAGAGTCCTGGATCTTGATCCCTAAGCAGTGAAAGAGCAGGTGTTTCTCCCAGGATTGCAACTATCATGGGAGAAGTTATTTTTTTTTAGTATTTCCCCTCAAGAAAATTTTCTGTTCCCCTTGATTTATGTTTTTACCAGGATTGCTGTCCCTGTCCAAGCTTTTCTTTAGGAACCTCCAAACTAATGATCATCTCTCCCCCCCAGCAAAGATTTGGTAGCTGTAATAAATGTATTTATAAGTCGCTGGCTAATACAGAGGTCTGTCCAGAAGCAATTTGCATCTGAGTTTGATTTCTTGGTACTGTATGTTATAATAATATCAGTATTAGTGGTGTTAATTCTTCTAAAAAAAGATTCCTAGAATCAAGTGCATCTTATATGTTACAAGAAGGGGGACCCGCGATACTCGCGGGGGGGCACTGCACGGCGAGGTCGGGGCTGAACCGGGGAGGCCGGTAGCGGCGGCGGCCGGGAACACGCGTCGTCCTCCCCCCCTTCCGTCGGCGGAGGGAGACCCAGCGGGCAAGCGCGGTGCGGCCCTCCTCCTCCCTCCACCAGCATCGCCCCCACCGCCTCGGCCTAGTCAGGGGCAGCGGCGGCTCTTCCTCGGCGGGAACAGCTTGCGCGCTCGCCGCCTCAGGCCCCCCCACCTTTCCCGCCCGCCGGCTGTATCAGGATGCTGAAGGGCCGGGGATGCTGCGGCCCGGGCGGGGGAGGCGACTCGACAGAGGAGAGGAAGCCGGCGAAGAGGAGCGAGGCCCCACAGAAAGGCAAGGTGGGCTGGGGGCGAGGGAAAGAACGCGCTGCCCCTCCTGCTGGCCGCAAGCTCCAACCCCCGTTCCAAGAGTGTTCCACGCGCATGCGCAGGAGACGCTCTTTTTTATTTTGGCAAATTTAAGGACCCCCGGAAATTTTTCACACTTTTAAGATTTTTGTGCACAGGTGGGGACCGCCCCAAGTGTGCACAAACCTCTCCCTGCCCCCCAGGTGGCCCCGGAGCGCGGATTTAGATATCCGCACAGACGGGGCCACTTGGCTATTAGATATATAGATTTTGGAAACAAGTGCTTCTTGTACACTATTTTGGAGTCTTTTCTTGAATGTCTGGATTACTTCGCACACTTGCAGCTGTCAGGTAAGGTTGGTCAGTGGTATCGTCAAGTGGGCAGGGAGGATGGGAAAGAAAGGCTTTGCCTGCAGCTCTCTAGGGAGCTTCTACCCCAAGTGACAGTAAACCAGGCCTTTCCTGACTTATTGCTGATTCTCTCCATTGCTGTGCTTTTTTAGCTCTGGAAGGCATGTCGAAGCTATGGACCGCCTGTTCTTTTTGAAGTGCTTGTGACTGCCCTACTTCTGCATATGAAAGGAAAGAGCCACATTGGTCAGGATATATATTTTATTTTTTTAAATACCTCTAACAACATCAAGAGGTGACAGAAGGACCCCTAATGAAGCCTGCTGGTCCCCACTGTCCTCAGCTCACGGGAAGAGGGGGCATAAGGTGCATGTTTCCTTTGGTTTGGAACCAGGAAACTTCAAGGAACAGCTGGCTGCATTTTTGTGGACACAAACAGAATAGAAAACATCTGTCTGGGGTTTGTCCAAGCATTGGAATTCTAGTTGATTGGCACAGGGCCCAACAACTTTATATAGAAGCAAGTGGGGCTTCTGGATCAAAAGGGAAAGGGTGGCAGTCAAGGGAGGAGGTGAGTCTGGAACTCAAAAGCTGGACGCATCTCTGCAACCTGGATTCAGCTTCTCATGGATTTGGAGAGTTGGGACAAATCTACCAATGTGTCTATCTGTAAAATGGGCATAATGCATTCACCCTTTCGTAAGGCTCTTAAGAAGGAATGAGAACAATTATACAGAATCATACCATTAGTCCATCAAGGTCAGTATTGTCTACTCAGACTGGCAGCAGCTCTCCAAGGTCTAGGGATGCCTCCAGTTGGGACCTCGGGATCCCCTGGGATTATAGCTCATCTCCAAACTATAGAGATCAGCCCCCCCCCTGAGAAGATTGATGCTTTGTTGTGTTGACTCTATGGAACTGTACCCCACTGAAGTCCCTGTCCTCCCTAGGCTCCTTCCCCAAATCTCCAGGAGTCTCCCACCCTGGATCTGGCAACCCCACCTCCCCATCCCCTGCCTGTGGCCAAGGGGACCCTGGCATCCCTACCAGGGTCTCAGGTGGAGGTCTTCCACATCACCTACTACTTGATCCTTTCAACTGAAGATGCTGGGGGTTGAACCTGGGGCCCTCTCCAAGCAAAGCAGAGGCTCTGCCACCGAGGCATAGTAGCCCCTCGCTGGAAAGCATTTTGAGCCGAATTTTTCCAATATGACTGAAGTCTCCAAGCTAGTTGTGTAGTGACAGCTGCCAGCTAAGGACTGTTTATTTTGAAACCAACACAATATTATTTTGTATCTACACATATCACCAGCTACCTAAAGCTAGCCACCACCCCAATCCATCTTCAGAGCAAAGCTGGTACATGGCAACAAACTGCTCAAGCAGTGAGAGGATAGGTGCAGCTAGAAAGCTCTGCCTGCTCTGGATGGCCTGCTATGGTGGTGTTAATCTTTGACTCCCAGGAATGTAATATTAATATTCAAATATTTGAAGGTGGGGTATTGAGAATCTTTCCCGTGCTTTTTTTAAAATGTAATTTTTAATAAACTAAAATCACATAACTTGCCACTACAAAATGTAGCAACCAAAACAAGAAATAATCACATCAGGGAGTGATCAGGGCAAAAATCTCCCCTACAGTTACAATCCAAACCTGAAAAAATTGCCACAGATCAATCCTGCAAGGACAGAAAACAGTCATCCAATTAGAGACAGTTGTACCATCCCGGATTCCCTATTCCTACACATCACAATCTGAGAACCTTTTCAGCTCTTAAAATCTGCTGACTTCATTGGTCTGCAGAAATGTGCAAAGCTGTAATGCTTTCTCAGAAATGACACTGAAAATTCCTGAAGTGTGAAAAGACGTCACCCATTTTAAAGCCACAAACTCATTGTTGTTGAGTGCATTTCACCAAACGCAACTCTCCTAAAGTGACTGGTTTGGTCTGGTGGTTGTGGCAGCCCCATCTAGTTATGCTCAACAAAAGGCAGCCCCACTGGAAAACAGTTCTCATCTACACACACTATGGTTGCCAACTCACATTTGGGAAATACCTGGAGATTTTGGGCGTGGAGCCCATGAAGGGCAGAGTTTGGAGCAGAATGCCATAGAATCTACCTTCCAAAGTAACCACTTTCTCCAGGGGACCTGATCTCTGTTGCCTGCTGATCAGCTGTAATCCCAGATCTCCAGCCACCACCTGGAAGTTGGCAACCCTAGCACACACGTCCTAACATCTGAAAACGTGTCTTTGATCCCCTGAGTGCTGTTCCCTGCCCTGAGCAACCTGCATAGAGACTTCTACTGTTGTGCTGTTTATTCTGATTGGCTTACTTTAGCTCAGCACTGGAATGAGCTGACCATTTAGCTTACCAGGGCCGTTCCCAGTGTAGACTGCTGCCCTGGAGGGCAATCAGTAGCCAGGAGCAAGCAGCGGTGCTGGCCAAATCTGAGCTGAATGGACTCTGCAGGGCTAGCTCACAGCTCTGCTCTATTGGACTTGCGTTGCTCCTGGGCTGTTTTACCTCCTAGTCCACTTGTGGCTCTGCTGCATATTCAAAGGCTTTCCCACCCCTCCCTTGGAAATACCCTTTTAATGTTTCTCCACTAGGCTGGGATGTAGCTATGTCAGGTGAGCCATCCCAGAGCTGGGACCAGAAAATAGGGAGCTGGACCATATGCAAGGCCTGGCCCTGCCTGACAGAGTCCCTGTTTGCAAAATCTGGAACATTTGGAATGAAGCTTCCAGAGACTTTTATTGACTGTTTTCTGCAGTGTGCTGTGCAGAAACTGAGGTGGGGGCAGGCTATCTCAGTTGGGGCGTTGTTTCTTGTACTTGGATTGAGCCACTCTTTAAATCTTTCCACATGCTACTTAGAATGCAGCCTTGTATTTGCAGATCCTGCAAACTGCTATGGAGGGTTTGGTCTCTGTTGCCCTCCTGTGGCCACAAGCTTCATGTCTTGTGTGTTCCAGAGCCTCCCTCTCCCCCCAATTCCATACACAGGATAACTAGTCCAGTAAACTGAACAACAACAACAACAACAACAACAACATTTTGGATTTTAGTTTTCCCAGAAATTGCATTAGATTCAGAAGGAGTAACTAGGGCAAATGCAGGTAAAAAGAGGGGAAAGGTTGTACTTTTGCAAAGTGACCAGATGCAAATAGAGTGGTGCACGTGGTCATGCTCCATTGGCTGGATCCTCTGGTCACTTGAAATATAAACAAGCCTGTCCTCAAAAGTGTAACTTGCCTTTCTCTGCAGTGTGGACTAACAGCAGCTTACCATATCATTTCCCTCCTCCATTTTATCATCACAGCACCCTTGAGAGGTAGGTTAGGCTGGGTGCGTGACTGGCCCAAGGTCACCCAGTGAGCTTCCATAGCACAGTAGGGATTTGAACCGGGGTCTCCCAGATCCATCTGACACTAACCACTACACCATGCTGGCTCTTAAAAAAATACTTGGGAAGGTAATGTCTTTCTGTATCGTTTTCTGCAGTGTGCTTTATTGGCAGACTGCTTTGTGTCAGCACTGCTGGCTTCAAGCAATTTTATGACCATTTTTGCAGGACTGGGATTTAGCAACAGGCCCACCGCTTTCATGAAGAAGCCTTTTCATCTGAAGGCCACAGGAACAGCCAGGCCGCAAAGACAAGTGTGAATAACACAAATGTTTGTATCTGATTGTACCAGCCTTAAGTTTTGCCCTGATGCTTCCAGAAAGTTCTTCAATGACCCTTAGTTAAGTGAGCATGTAGGGGGTCTCTGATTTTGTCTGCTGTACCTGTAACACAATAGAGCAGTGGTGGCGAACCTATGGCACGGGTGCCAGAGGTGGCACTCAGAGCCCTCTCTGTGGGCACACGTGCCATCGCCCCAGCCAGGCCCAGACCATCATTAAAGTGTCGAATTCTCTGCCAAATACTTTTAAGTAAAT